CTCCCCGCGCCACCCGCCGCTCCGCTGCGCTCCGCTCCGTGATGTCAGGCTTTCCTGTTTGCGCTTGGGAGCGCGCTCCCCTTCTTAAATCCCTTGGATGAAGTTAGCGGGAATCATTTCTCCGGCTCCGCAGGGGATCGGGACGCGACCCTTTCAAGCTGATCAGGTTTTCCTGATGGTCATCAGGTGCCAAAAAAAGAATCGGGTGCGGTATGGGGGACAGAAGTGTGTGTCTTCTCTTAACTTCGCTAAAAGAAAGAAAGGGGAAGGAGGATGGGAGGAGAGGGGCAGAAAAACGTCTATTATCTGCCTGTTACCGACCGAATTTCCATGAAATCAGGGCGACCCCAGCGAGTGAAGCGACACTAGAATGCAGGAAGCTTGAACCTGTGCCCAGGAGCTGAACCCTGCCCCATCAGCACTCCACCGACAGGAAATTACCCTGGACTCCTACCACCCTTTACAAACCGGAGCCTCATCCCACAGTATCTGGCCATTGTGGGAGGGACGCGAGGAAAGCAGAAAAGGGTTTTGCCGGGACTGACTGCGGAAAGTGGGCCGGCAGTGACCCCCGAGGGTGTGTGAGTCTTTGAGTTGTCACCATCTCCAGTTGTCTGTACTGTAGGGACACAGTGGGATAATAACCACAAGGGAAAAAGGCCATTCATGAGGAGCCTGCCAGAGGGAGCTTTGTCACAACAGAAAGATCTGCTGTCAGGACAAAAGATTATGGCCATTTTTAGATTCAGTTTTAATAAATCAACAGCAAGATACCAGATGATAATGTAATCAAACTTTGGCACATGACCGAATTCCATGCCAATTACAAAACCTTCAGGGCTGATGTCTTTTACACTATTCACCCCTAAATGAGTTTAATCGCCTTTAGTATTTTAAGACCTCTCACTAATTGCCATGGTAAGGCATAAGCAGGCTTTGGTTAATAACAAAGATATCACTAGCTGAAAAGCTGGAGAATCAAGAGTTCTGATGCTCCCAGGAGGGCAGAATAAATGACAAAGAGGGCATCAGGGAAAAACAAAAGGATCTTTGGACATTTGAGGACATCTTGAAGTCACTCAGCCAAGGTCTCCTCACCCAACCAGAACTTCCAGGGATCAGTAGCTGTGGAGACAGGGAGACTAGATCCTTCTGTGATCACCAGGACAAGGTCTCCATCAGCAGATGAATGGATTAAAAATGTGGTATGTATACACACAATGGAATATTATTCAGCCTTAAAAAACAAGAACATCCTGTCATACGTGACAACACAGATGAAACTTGAGGACATTATGCTCAGTAAAATGAGCCAGTCACAAGACAGTACTGCATGATTCCCTTTACATGAGGTATCTAAAGTAGTCAAACTCATAGAAACAGAAAGTAGAATGGTAGTTGCCAGGGGCTGGGGGGGAGGGGAAATAGGGAGTTGCTGTTCAATGTGTATCAGGTTTCAGTTATGCAAGATGAAAAAGTTCTAGAGATCTACTGTACAACATTACAGTTAATAATAAAGCAGCTAACAGAGTACGTGAAACGTCAGAGGCCTTGAATAAAAACGTTATCTCCTTCCCACCCTACCCCACACTCTTTCCCTTTAAAGTAAATCTACGTTCATTTACTGCTCTTGGTTTGCAATCTGCAGGCTGTTTACATGTTTGCTTGGGTAACAGATTACACTGTATGACAGAAAACAATGGGCAGTGTAAGAGTAATGGACATTGTACTTGGATATATAGGGTGAAAAATTTGTCTTGAAGACACCAAGAGCAGCATAGGATGGTAAGAAATGGGAAGGCCTTGGTTTTGTCCTCAAGCTCATCGCTGGACTTATAATGTTCGATGCCCACTGAAAAGTCTGGAGGCAAACAGTCCTAGAGATCAACAGCAATAATACTAATAACAACAGCCTCAACAGCTATATGAAGAAAGCTAAATAAGTGAGAGTTCAGGATTTCCTCTCCACACCTTAGTGCTGTTGAGTGCCTATTGCCTCTACCTGCCTGCAGCCTTGCCTAAACAGATGAGTCTGAAAACCTTTCCCACTTTTGTTCTTTTTTTTTTTAAAATATATCTTTATTGATTTCAGAGAGAGGAAGGAAGAGAGAGAGAGGAAGGGAGAGGGAAAGAGAGAAACATCAGTGATGAGAGAGGCATTGATCAGCTGCCTCCTGCACACCCCCGACTGGGGATCGAGCCAGCAACCCGGGCATGTGCCCTGACCGGGAATTGAACCACGATCTCCTGCATCCTAGGTCAATGCTCAACTGCTGAGCCACACCAGGCCAGGCTCCCACTTTTGAATGGAAATAATAATAGCCATTTGGCAATATTTTTTTAAAAATATGTTTTTATTGATTTCAGAGAGAGGAAGGGAGAGGGAGAGATAGAAACACCAATGATGAGAGGGTGTCATTGATCGGCTGCCTCCTGCAGGCCCCCCACTGGGGGTCACACCCAATTGTGCCCTGACCAGGAATCAAACTGTGACCTCCCGGTTCATAGGTCGATGCTCAACTGCTGAACCATGCCGGCCGGGCATTTTTGGCAACATTTTATTCATGAAAACTATACCTTCAGCTATATGTACGTCCCTAAAAAATACTTTTGGCTGGGCCAGGCGTAGGAGGCAGGTGTGTAGGAGGCAGCTGAGTAATGACAACTCTCTCATCATTGATGTTTCTATCTCTCTCCCTCTCCCTTCCTCTCTCTGAAATCAATAAAGATTATTTTTTTAAAAAGAAACTTTCGGTGGAGGACATAAGCAAATAAATGTTACTTTTTGACTACTTCCCACCGACAGTATTCAAGTATTGCCAAAATGCAAACTCCTAGCCCTTTCACCATCCCTAGGAAATGGCTCCCTCTCTTCTCAGGGCCTGTGGGCTGCGCTGCTCACCAGTTTACTTCATGCTCAGCTCGCTGTCAGCTGGGCATCCTGCTGGGGTGTCTCTGGCTGTGCTGCCTGGGGTTACACTGTTTACCTATTCTTCGCTTAAACTTTCAACCTCACATTGCAAAGGGTAAAGATCCAGTCACGCTTGGTTAAAGATGAACAGTCCTCACCCTGGGCAGGTGTCTGGGTTAGAGAGTTGTCCCGTACACCAAAAGGCTGCAGGTTCAATTCCCGATCAGGGCACATACCTAGGTTTAAGGTTCTATCCTTGGTTGGGGTGAGTACGAGCGGCAACCAATCATTGAT